GTACCACAATTTCTTAATCCATTTGTTTGTTGATATATATTTGTTGTACATGTGTTTGTTCATGTCTCAGCTCTGATTTCTTAGACTATATTCCTAGCAGTGGAATTTATATGGCATTCCTATGTTCAGCTTTTTGAGGAAATGCCAAACTGCTTCCAGAGTGGTTGTCCCATTTTTCAGCCCCACCAGCAGTGCTTACGCGTTCTAACCTCTCCACATCCTCTCCAACATGTATTGTTTGCTGTCCTGTTAAACCTTGTTACTGCTACTGGGATGAGAGCATATCTCACAGTTCTTTTGATTTGCATATGTCTGACTGTCAGTGATTTTAAACATTTTTTTCATATGTCTGTTGGCTACCTGAATGATGTCACAAAATACTATAAAACATGGGATAGTCTAGAGAGCATTATGCAGAGTGAAGTAACTCAGTCTCATAGGGGTAAATACTGGATAAGACCATTATTGTAAAAACAGAAGGATAATTAAACTATATATATGTTCAAAAAGAGAAGGCAAAAGCAATAAGAATGTGAGAGAAGGAGAAGAAAGGGAATCACTAGGGTAGGAGAGCTAAGTGGGTGGATGGAATAGGAAAGATTCAATGGGGACTTGAAAAGATGAGGTGATAATAGGCATGGATCAATAGTAATAAGTAATAAATAGCATTAAATTTATTATAAATGTAATAACAATGTAAATGAATGAGTATACAAAATACAATATAAAGGAAAGATTGTCTAAAACACAATGTACATGCATGAAACAATGTATGTGAAACAAAAAAATGAAGTGGCAGGAAATATGTGAGGAGTACCAGTAAGTAAGATAGTTTTGACACTAAACATAACAATAAACAACTCTTTAACAACTATTTTTTATGAAATTCTTTTTCTCACAGCTTTAGCTTCTTCTTTAAAAAATTAATTTTAATGAAAGTTTACAGAGCCTTTGGATTTCCATTCATTCTTTGTTGCACTTTTCTCGCTGCCCACTTCTCCCCCCTAAATCGCTCTTCTCTTTGAAAAGTAAAATTCTTTCATTGTTATATAATTTTTATGAAATTCTTGACTTAGATTTTCTCATTTGATTTTTATAATGCACCAGAGTTTTGTTATTAGGTTCATTGAGTCAATTCCAGCCCAAAGGGTTACAGTTCATAAAGTTCCAGGCCGCCACAACAGGGTGAAAGCTTACCTGATCCTGAACCTTATAATCTCTCCTGCTCTGATGCCCACTGTTGTATCTCGGTGCCCACCCATCTCACTGAGCGGCTTCCATGTCTTTGCAGACACTCTACTTATCTCAGCCTTTCTCCAGGGACTGGCCCTTCCTGAGAACATGCCCGAGGTACACCAGACAAAATCTTACCAGCTTGGCTCGTAAGGAGAGACCTCTGGATGTTCTTCCTGGCCACTGTTACTATCGCCTCCATATATGGAAGAAATGGGGGTTTGGAGAGGCTCAAGGGACGTGGTAAGGGTCACAGCACTAGCCAGATACCGAGTGAGGACTTGATCCTGTGGTTTGATATCTGAATGTATGATAATAATCCATGCTTTACCATCCTTTGCTGCTGCCGAGCATTTACAACCTCTTTTAACTCTCAATTTGCTCAGAGGAAGAGCAAAGGTCATACCTCATCGTTGAGTCTATTAATCTGCTGCTTGGTCTCCTCGGCTTTGATGAACAGGACAGCAGCTCCGATCTCCGGGTCTGGAAAAGAGTACACATGCACACAGAAGAGTCATGTAGGAACAGACCTCACATTAAAGACTGGGGCAGCTGGAGTTGGGAGGGGAGCGGGCTGTCATAACTGCTCTTTGCTGAGTCAGGCACGACCAGTTCCATCTCACTGGGACTGGACACAGTCACCCCTTCTGGCTGCCACCTCTTCCCTCCGTGGGAACCAGACACACATCACGCTCGTGACTGTAGGTAAACACCACTGGTTGGATGTCCGTGGCAAAAACTCCCTTCCGCTGACCACTATCACAGCCATGGTCCAAGACAGCACATTTTGTCTTCTCTGACCATTAAAGCAAACAAACAACAACCAAAAAACCCCAGAGCTTGAGTCAGTGCTCAAGCCACGGATAGAAAAGGTTGAGGACTTTTATCTTCCGCTCTCTGAACTTTGATACCCGTGCCCACATAAGCTCTTTGTGCCCACCTCTATTCCAGGTACCATTTCTACTGCAGGTTTCTGGTCTCCCCCACCCCCTGATTCTCCTTGGCTTCTCCTCTGCCTGGTGGTTGTGAGTTCCACCTCATGGAGAGGTCGTTTGTGCAGAGAACTGGCCCACAGCATTTTCAAGGCTGCCGCCTTTAGGAAGCAGATCACAAATCCACCCCCCCCACACACCCCAGAAGACTTGGGGGAGGGTAATTGTGCAAAAATCAATGATTTTTTAAAGTGAACTGGGGTTTTTTCTATGAAAATAGTGCCAAAAGTGAAGAAGGAAGTCCCTGTCCCCCTTACACTGAAGCCAAAGCAAAGGCATTAAAGGCCAAGAAGGCGTCCTAAAGGGCGTCCACAGCCAAAAAAAAAAAAAGAAGATCCACACGTCACCCACCTTCCGGCAGCCTAAGACGCTGAGACTCCGAAGGCAGCCCAGATACCCCCGGAAGAGCACCACCAGGAGAAACAAGCTTGACCACTATGTCATCATCAAGTCTCCCCTGACCACTGAGTCAGCCATGAAGAAGATAGAAGATAACAACACACTTGTGTTCATTGTGGATGTCAAGGTCAACAAGCACCAGATCAAACAAGCTGTAAAGAAGCTCTGTGACATTGATGTGGCCAAGGTCAACACCTTGATCAGGCCTGATGGAGAGAAGAAGGCTTATTCGACTTGCTTTGGATGTTGCCAACAAAATTGGGATCATCTAAACCAAGTCCAGCTGGCTAATTCTAAATACAAATTTTTCTCACCAAAAAAAGAAAGTGAACTGGGGAGGAAGGGAGAGAGAGGGTTTCCACAATGTGTAAGAATGAATGAATGAAAATCTAACTTTTCTGAAACTTTTGTAAAAACAATGTATATGAACTTTGTAAGTAAACCAGTTGTTGTTGTTGTTAAGTGCTGTTGAGACGACTCACAGAAACTCTGTGAACAAAAGCCCTGAACACTTATAATTTTCTGTTTCTCCAAGGGTTTCTGGAGGCAAGCTGTTTCAGAAGTGGATGCCACTCCTGCTTCCAAGCTTGTTTGAATCAGGGAGCTTCACCAAATACTGTCCATCATGGGTAACCATTATCGCATTTGCCACATCAGGGTCACAGTGTTTAGCATCAACATGAGTTACATAAAACAAACAAAAATTTAAAAATAATTAAATCGCAACCATCAAATTGAAATAGAAAAAAAAACAATTAAAATAAGAACATTTATTAAAAAAAGGAAAGAAATTGCAGTACATCTAGCTTAGACAGAGGAACGATAACAAACAATGTCCTAAAAACTTGGAAAGAGCACAGACTCAAGCCAAATTATGTTTTTGGTAAACTTTTGTCTCATGGAGCATTTTTCAAGAATAGGAAGGTAAAGCAATTCCAAAGCTAAACATTATAAATAATAATAAAAAAGAGACCTTTGAGAGAATACTAAGCATTAAGAATAATAACTCTTCTGAGGGGCTCACCTCCGAGAGGAGGGGAAATCCTGGGCTCTGGTCTGACTCGTTCAGAGGCAAAGTCGAAAGTCTGGCTTTCTTCACTGCTGTTTCCATCTTCAATCCCATCTACAATTCTGTTTAAAGTAAAGAAAAACATGTGGTTGTGCATTTCAAGGCAGGGGTCCCAGTATTTCCAGAAGGCTTTTCTTCTTACACGTTGTGTTACTTTTCTAAATTCTAGGTACCTGAGAACTACACTATTCAATGTGGCAGCCATTAGCCCTACCTGGTTATTGATCACTTGAAATTGTTCGAATTTCAACACTTGAAAAAGTGTGAATTAGAAGGTGCTGTAAGTATAAAGCCACACTGAATTCTGAGACATAGTAGAAAACAAAAATAATTGAAATTATTGTATTAACAATTTTTAAACTAGGAATATTAACCTTAAGATGATATATTTTGGTCTACCAGGTCAATTAAAATATAGTATTAAAATTAATTTGACCTGATTTTTAAATAATTTATTGAGGCTTTTAGAAAATTTAAGATTATATGAGGGCTCATAATTCCAATGCACATGTTTCTATTGGGCAATATTATGGTAGAGTTTATACTCTTTTTTTTTTTCTTTTAAGATTCAAAATTTTAAGAATTTACTTAAATAAAAGTTTAACTTCTTACATAAATTTATATTATACCAGCTCAGGAGAGGGGAAAAAAGGGTAAGGTCTGATTATGGAATCCCAGAAAATAAGTTGGATGACACTTCATTCTGAACTTGGACAAAATTCTTTTCATAAGAATCTAAAAATTATATTTAAAATACTCTTACACGGCTAGTCTTTTTAGCTTATAGTGTGTAACTCATTCCTTATTAAAAGAATCATACAAATCCACTGTAGAAAAATCTAAATCTAAAGTGGACGAAAGTCAGAAAAGAAAAATCATTCAAAATCCATAACTACTATTAATATTTAAGCTATGTCCTCATTCTTTTAATAAACAGACGAGTATGTTCATTTTATAAATGTGGGGTCATATTGTACAGAAGCTTTTTCTAGCTCTGACACATTTTTTCACTATTTAAATATTTTCATTTTAGCTAAAATTTGCAAAGGAAAGAGAAGCAATGTGTTCAAATTACCATCTTCAACAGAATTCTCGAACATTTAATGCATGCCTACTTTTCTGCAAACCTATTTTTCCTTATTTTTAAAAGAGCTTAATATATTCTTTAATGGAGAAGATGTATTATTCAAGTGAATAACTAAATATATAGTGCATTAGTAGCCTCAAAAGTGGAAAAATAGAATTGGAATCTGACTTTTAGAACTTACTATCTCTGAGATAAAAATATTTCATCTTCAAATTTCACTTCTTACAATTCCTCAGTAGAAATAATATGAACTACTTTATAGGATGACTGAGAAGACTAAATGCAAAAATGAAATTACTACGCAAAATGCAAAGATCATAAAAACCACTCAATGCTTTTTCTTCTTGCCTCTATTTTTGCCTCTGCGGTCATGTGATTTTAACTATTGCTATGGCTTAAATGCAGCTTTTAAGGGATTGCCCCTTTCAAATCTTCTGAGTCAATGTTTTCCATTCTATAAATCACCTGAATAGATCCGAAAGAGAATATTTTTAAATTAAAAACACAGAAATTCCTTATTATGTTAACAAACATTATCTATAAGAGAGGTCAGAAATAAAACTAAGCTTTAAGAATTCACAACAACGTGTCAGAGAATATGGAAAAGAGGAATAATTTATTCACTTCCTGCACAATTTCAACTTGTTGCTCCAAGAAATATCGGTTCTGATGGGACCCTGAGGGGTGACATTGAGGAATTTCTTTTCATCTTTTTTACAAATGGATAAATGACAATATTTGTTGTTGTTAAGTGCCATTGGGCCTTAGATGAGTCACAGCAAATCTATGAACAAAAGACCTTGCACAACTTTCATTGTTTCTCCAGGTTCATAGAGTTTCCAGAGGCAAGCTAATTCGGAAGTGGATGCCACTCCTGCTTCCAAGCTTGTTTTAATTGGGGAGCTCCACCAAACACTGTCCACCATGGGTAACCATTATCACCTTTGACACATCAGTGTCACAGTGTTTAGCATCCCAGCAACCAGGAGTTACCTCTGTACAGCAAGTGGACAGACAAGTGTTATACCACTTAGAAGAATGCTTGACCAAAAAGAGTTAAAACCAGGCCTGAGGGCCGCAGATTACAATCACCCACTTTGGGTTGGTAGCATAACTTTCTATCCACCAGGCCCACAGAGCTCTCTCTATTGGTGTTGATGTTGTTAAGTGCCGTTGAGTCCTAGACGACTCATAGTGACACTATGAATGAAAGACCTGAATACTTTTATAACTTGCATCATTTCTTCAAGTTCATAGAGTTTCCAGAGGTAACCTATTTCAGAAGTGGATGCCACTTCGGCTTCCAAGCTTGTTTTAATCAGGGAGCTCCACCAGTGTCAAGCATGAGAACAGCTAGTTTCAGCCGTATTCTCAAAAGGGTACGTTAAATATTCAGAGTTCCTTTTCTATCTCCTTCATCCATTTAGTCTGTCCGTTATTTTAAATGTCTATTGTCATTTGTACATAGGTCATGGTCTTTGCAATCACTTGCTATGTGTCAGAGAGCTGGACAATGACTAGGGAGGATAGAAGGAGAATTGATGCCTTTGAGCTGTGGTGCTGGAGAAGAGTACTGAATGTACCATGGACTGCTAAAAGTAACGAACAGGTTCATCCTGGTGAGGGTGAAACCAAGTTGCTCCTTGGAGGCAAGGATTCTGAAGCTTCATCTGACATACTTTGGACATGTTTCAAGGAGGGACCAGTCCTTGGAGAAGGATACCATGCTTGGGAGGGTAGAGGGACAGCGCAGGAGAGGAAGGCCCTCTATGAGGTGGATTGATTCAGTGACTGGGGTAATGGGGGTAGGTGTCCTGGAGACAGTGCAATTGGCACAGGATAGAGCAGGGTTTAGGGCTGTTGTACACAGGGTCGCTATGAGTCGCAGGTTACTTGACAGCACATAACAACAACAACATTGTCATTTATCTCTATTCTCATGTATATACAGTTGCCCACTAAAAAAACCTGTGCACAAGATTCTGAAAATAGAAAAAAAAAATCATCCTAGGTCAGTTGCGAATCCATGCAGTAGTAAGGCGCAGAAGCTGACTAAACTTACCAGCCAAAAACTGGGATGAAAAAAACCCCAGCCCAGTTGCCTGGCCAGAGTGATCTGCTGTGAATTCTTACCTGGGACTGAGATCCGGGGGCCCAGCACTATTCAGAGCTGCAAGTTTCAGTTTTAAAGTCTTCTCTTTCTTTTTGCTGTGATTAGATGGCTCTGCTTCCGGCTTGGTTTTGGGGGAATTTGAGCTGGAGACTCGGATAGGTGAATGAAAGGGCACGGTTCCTGAAGCCAGCTGCTTCAAGCTTAAGCTCAGGTAACTTTTGTTGCTTCCAGCTTTCTTGCCACGTGAAGAGAAGGGTCCTCTTGTGTAGATGGGAGAGAGAGAGGTGGTCTCCTCTTCCTCTCCTTCCTCTTCCTCTTCCTCATCTTCCACGATGGATGGGAGCGTCTTCTTGATGCTGCCATTTCCCTTCGGCTCTGACTAAATCAGAGGATAAGGTGGATTAGGAGCAGGTGCAAAGACCTTTAGTGGTACATCATTCATGCGGGAGTTATCATCTGAACCCAGTCAAGTGCCAGACTGCTTTTAACTAAAGTTCAACCTACATGGAAATGCAGGAGAACACTAGGCCAGAAGTGCTCTGGAAGAGAAAGGGGAACTCAACCACGTGAAAGACACACAGGCCAAACTTACTAAAAAAATGAAGAGCAAAGTGTAAATTATGAACTTGGACTTCTGTTTATAGTTGCTGTCTATTTAATAACTGCCTTGTTCCAAGAAGGCTTTTCGGGATCTATCAGAGTCCTCTCATAACCTGCAACAGCATTTCTATAAGTCGCCTTATTTTTAAAACTTGTGTTTTATAATAGCAAACACTTGAGACCCTACACACTTGGCTTAAATGACTGATATTTGCGACCCAACCAATGTATGCATAGCCCTTATACAAGAATTAATTATTCCATTATCGCAGCCAAGAGACCAATTGAATAAATTACTAAAATCTAATCCCATATCAGTACCAGCTTCTTTTTTAAAGGGCAAGTCTGGTGGCTTAGTGGTAAGAAACTGCACTGCAATCCCAAAGGCACATAGTTCGAATCTACCAGCTGCCCCTCAGAAGAAGGATGAACAATCTCTTATGCAATTAACTGCCTCTGAAAACTCACTGGAGGGTCAGCATACGTCAGTTCCAACCTGACAGGCACACAACAACGTCTTTCTATCAGGAAGCTCAGATGACGCAGTGGAAAGAAGCAGTGAGGTAATCCAAAGGGCACGTTCAAATCCATCAGGTGCTTCATGGGAGAATGATGGGACAGTCTCCTTCTGTGCAATTTACTGTCTCTGAAAACCTGCTGAAGGTCAGCTATGGGTCAGTTCCAACCCAACAGCACACAACAGCAACAACAACAACAACAGTCTTTCTCTAAGATGAGGGCGCTCTGGTGGCCTAGCCTGCAGGGATTTGCACTGTTAACCCCAAAGCTACATCTTTCTGGCAGCCCGAATCCAGCAGCTCTGAGGAAGGAAGATAGGAAATCTCATTCTGTGTGATTTTCAGCCTGAGAAGATAAACAGAAGGTTTGCTCTGAGTAAGTTCCAACTCCGAGTCAATGAGCTCTGTAGTTGACCTATAAGATCAGCCCCTCTTGTGCAACCGTGTTATGTCTATAGAATGGAGGTCAGATCCCAGGTCTCCTCATCTGGACCAGGACATCAGAGCACCTTATCTTTTCTGCCTTCACCCGATTTTCCCCAGAGTCTTTGATAAGGACAAAGAAGTTTCATTCCCACAGTCTAAGAGATTTCGAATTAGGTCCATGACTTGTGGCTGGAAAGATATTTATTGCTCAACAGATGAAGACACTGAATCAAACATTTTTATTGCCCAAAAGGATACAGGATAAAGTCTGAGGGCTGAATTCATGGACTTTTGAGCCTCCAGTCACTGGAACTAGCTTTAGTCAGACAACAAAACCACTAATGTTTTTAGCTCTGTCTCCTGTAAACCGACAATGGTTTTAGGAATACAATAAGACACGAGATAATGGAATGTTAGCATTAAGCAAGGTATTTAGAAAGGGTTTAAAATGCTTCATGGTAACAATCGTAAACAATGGAACTAGTGATGTCATGTTAGGCCACCTGTCATGGCAGTACCGGCTATGCCCTTGTGTGCATTTTCCATCCTTTCTGAGTTCACAGATCCCTTGACAATGTATCCTGCCCCAATCCTATCTTCCTTGGCTTAGCTTTCTGCTTGGTTTGGCTGTGTGCTCAAGTTCTGTGATGATGACATGTCAGTGGGCAGGCACTTAACACCAACCTCAAACGCACTCACTGCTGTCACGTGGGTTCTCATCACAGTGACGCTGCCAAGCAGAGAAGAACGGTCCTACAACATCGCCAAAGCTTCACGTCTCCACAAAAGCGGGCTGTCCCATCTTCCGTCTGGGGGCTCACACCACCGACCTTTCACTCAGCAGCCATGTGTTTAACCTACTGTGGCACCAGGGTTCCTTCTTTTGCACTCAAGTGAGGCTAAATAAGCACTACAAGCATCTGTTTTGATTTACTTTCCACGTATATAAAGACGAAGTGAGGAATGGATCTCATTTGTCACCAGCAGACTGCCTGTAAGGGCACAGTGCTAAAGGCAGACACATTCCTTTTCACTAGTTAAGTCAAAATCCTGTTTAGTTTTAAGATTTTAGAGGGGTATTTGTGGTTTAAAATTTAAATATTATCTCACTGTTAGAGGTTCGAGGGTTCATCCATCCTTCATGGAACTGAATAAAAATTTGTAATTCTGTTCTGCAGTTTCCTCCCTGTTGATCATGATCATTTGATACAATTTTTTATCAAAATACTAGTCATGGGAGTGAGGTTCCATAGCTGCATATTAAGTTTCCCCCTTCTATTCTTGACTCTTTTTGTTCCTCTGTTTCTGTTCAGAGACAACTGTTGTGGATGGATGGCAATTTGTCAGCTTTTAAGACCCTAAGTAGTATGTAATTAAGAAGGAGGGCGAGCAGAAGAAACACTACAAAAGTTATTAGGGCAGCAAGCTCTAGTGGCCTAGTGGCAAGAAGCTGCACTGTAATCCCAGAGGTGAGCAGTTCAAATCCACTAGATGCTCTGCTGGAGAATGAGGGACAATCTCCTCTGGTGACAGTCAGATCTGACTTGACAACACACACACAAATTTAATAATAATATAAAAATTTTTTAAAAAAGTTCTTAGGGCATGGAACTATGAACCTAAAACTTCCAAACCAAGAGACCAAATCCTTTGAGGTTTTTGATTCAACACCTCTTCTGGTGGTTTTATCACCACAAATGAACTTCAGCCAGCATGGAGGGATATTTTTTTTTCTTCCCGAGTTAGGATCATCCCCTTCCACTTTGTACGAATGTCTTATTCTTAAGGGGGATCTTTATTGTCAGAGTGCTATGAAGGAAAAAAGAACCACGGTGACAAGTGCTTAAGTTCTCTGCTCCAAACTGAAAGGTGGGTGGTTTGAATCCACCTTCTGCTCTGTGGAAAAAAAAATGTGGCAGTCTGCTTGCGAGAGATCACAGCCTTGGAAACCGCAGCGGGCAGCTGCACTCAGTCCCTCAGGCTGCTGTGTCAGAATGACAGAGCTCCAGGGCAATAGCTCCGGCTTATTGTCTGTCAGATTGTTTTATTTTTAATCAAAGAGTGAGGCTGTCAAGCTGGAAAATCCAAAGGTTAATCAATGTTTTCAAGTGAAAGGGAACAGAGGAAATCTGCAAGGGCAGGAGTGGTAGTGGAAAGGAGAAGAGGGGAGGGGGGAATGACTGGAAGAAATGTGAGGCTTTAAAAGGCTTCTAAAAAGTTCTTTGCTACATTATTGGAAGTGAAACCTTGTTTGATGTTCCCAAGTATCTTCAGTCAATAACTGATGTCTTTAATGTGTTACATAATTGGATATATTTGTGTTTGGTGCATGGGTGTTGAGTTCTGCTCCAAGAAGGATGCAGATTAAGAAACAGAGCTGTTCATAACATTCTAATGTGGGGTTGCTGAGAATAAGTAGCCCAGCCAGTAACCGACAAGCCACCATGTTTTTGGGAATGTATCCAATGAAATCGGAGGATGGATAATCGGTGAAACTGGAGCACAGCTAACAGATAACAGTACTTCCAAAATAAACCCAAATCGTAGGTGTCCAAATTACAGTTATCTAACTTGTATCATCAATTGGCTGCTTACAAGAAAGAAAAAAAAAAAAGAAACACAAAAACAACAAACCCAACCACCTGTGACTATCAATTTCAAATTCATGAAAGTACTTTCCAAATCAATACCTCAGAACTTATACTTTTGGCAGGTTTCGGTGGTGACAAACTACAGCAATAATACAATCTTTCAACCAAGCTGTTTGTTCAAAGTTTGAATACTTCTTGATTCTCAAGTTCAAGGAAGCCACTCACTACATCTCTCATTGGTAAATGCAATAATAAAGGCAAAATTTAAGAACATTGAACTTGCAAGGGAAAGCTGGCTCCCTGGCAATCCCATGGGCACTAGATAATCATTTTGCTCTTCAGTGAAAGGCATACCTGTGAGACTGTAGATTTGTTCGATAATCTTGATATCACCTGAAAGGAACAGAGAAAGAAACAGAGGCTGTAATGATCATGCAGTCTTTCCTGGATGATTTGGGACAGGGATAAAAAGAGGTTCTCAGAGGCAGTGTGGGGCGAAGGCGCTGTCTTCTAGGTAGGTAGGAAAGTAGGTCAGAGAAGAGAAAACACCTCCTGAGAGGTACTGAAACTTCCTCCCACATCCCACCCTCAGGCTGTGTGTTGAACAGGACCGGAAGTGAGACAAGTCCCTGCAAATGGAGCACCAGCACAGGACCCCACACCTAGAGACAGTGATCCAAGAACCAGGCTTCTTTACTGTTTTCTTATCTCACCTCCACTTTCCCATCTCCCTCGTTCCTCTTCTCAACTCTTTCCCTAACTTCTCATCACCCGCGACTTCTTTCTGTGGCCCTTCAAAGTAGAAATCCGTAGAAAGATTCTGGTGTCTACTTATTCTTCTCCCTTTCTTGGTCCAGCAGGGAGTGGGGATTGCGAGGTGGGTGGGATTACATCTACTTCATTGTTTTTGTTTTATTTTATAGGTTTTGTTCCTTGAAGACTAGAATTGACGTACTGGGGTCGTGTTCATAGGGTCGTTATGAAGCATACATGATTCAACAGCATATAACATCATCAAACAAAATTTCTTATTTATTTTTAATAAAAAAGTATTAATGATTTTAGAAAAGGGGAGGGAGGTGAAATGCTGCCCGCCAAACCGTGATGTGGCACTACGACACTGTGTGAGAGACAGCTCTGAAATTCAGAGCTCCTAAAACGTGAAAGGCAAATGTGTATGCTAGACCTGCTGAAACTCAGCACTCTGGGAATTTGTGAGCAGAACTCCAACAATGGTAATGTGGGTGCAACATTAAAAGACATGCATTTTCCATGAGGTAGATGGCATCTTGGCAACATGTTTTAAGACCCACCCACACTATTTTTTTATTATTATTGTTCAAATATACTTTTTGGTTTCAAGTGGTAACAAATGTGGTAAATTAGCATAATTTTTTAAAAAATTAACATAATTTTATTCACTAAAAATTTTGCATTTGAAATTATCCTGCATAGTACACCAGACATATTTGGAAATTCTGTCACTGTTTTTCATTTTCCCCCTTCCCTAGCTGATTAGGAAAATAGATCTGTTATTTATACCAATGCCGGCATCATTAGTGCTGTGCAAATATAGGTTTCATTTTATCAAAGCCGCCAATGCATTGTACATCTGCTTACATGCATAAAGAGCCGTTAATCAGAAGCATTGAAGGCATAAGTTTTAGAACAATTCCCCAAATGGTGACAAATAAAACAACTGAACAGTTGAAAATGTGAAAATTCACACAAAACCATGGTGCTGTTGCTCTGTGGTAACACAAAACTGTTTTACAGAATCTTTCAGAGCACATAAGAGGGTAGGTGTCTATATTTACAATTCTAGATATCTTTGTCAGCTCAAAGGCTGTCAGTTTGAAATCCAACCAAGGCATTAACGGAAGGAAAGTATGTTAACCTGCTTCAGTAAGAAAATCCTATGCAAGGGAGCTCTGGTGGCCTAGTGGCAAGAAGCTGTACTGAAATCCCAGAGGTACATAGTTCAAACCCACTAGATGCTTTGCTGTAGGAGGGGCAATCTTCTCCTGTACCAGTTAGATCTGATTTGATGGTATACACGTACAAAATAAAAACAATTTAAAAAAAAAAGAAAATTCTATGCAGAAGTTCTACTTTGTAACGTGTGAGATCTCTGAGGGTCCTGACCGACTGCATGGTATTGGATTGGCTTTTAGGTTGATCATAATGGGATCCTGGAAGCCAGTGCTCCTCTGAACCAGCAATGCCCTTGGCAGTGAAGTGCTATTGCATTTGGGTCTGACACCCAGCTCCTGGGTGATTTCAAGCATGGGTTCTGCCAAATTGTTAAACCCTTTGCTTTTCTATATTAGAACTTTCCAATCTCTAAGATTAATACAAATCACTTGTGAATTATTACAATACAAAACCTGATTCAGAAAGTTTATTTGTGGCTGAATTTGAGGAAAACGGGAATCCCAGGACAGTTGATTGTGCTCATGTGAAACCTATACCCGGACCAGGAAGCAGTTGCCAGAACAGAGCAAGGAAATACTGCATGGTTCAAAATCAGGAAAAGAATCCATCAGGGTTGCATCCTATCTCCATAACTTTTCAATCTGTATATAGAGAAGATCAGGAGTCTGGGATTTAAGAGGAGAAATGTGACATCAGAATTGTAGGAAGACTCATCAATAACTTCGGTTATGCAGATAACACCACCTTGCTTGCTGAAGCTGAGAAGGAGGACCTGAAGCACTTGCTGGATAAGGTCAAGAACTGTAGTGTTCAATATAAATGGAAGTTCTATATCAAGAAGACAAAGATTCTTATGCCTGGGCCAACTGGCAGCATCATGATTTGATGGTGAAGAGATTGGGGTTGTTAACAGTTACAGGGCTCCACAATTAACACTCTTGGTACCAGCAGTCAGGAAATCCAAAGACAAATTGCACCAGGAAAATCTGCTGTCATGGACCTCTCCAGAGAACTTAGAAGCAACAATGTCAGTCTAGAGACTAAGGTGCACCTGATCCATACAGTGTATGGTCTTCTGAATTACTTGCTATGCATCAGAGAGCTAGACAATGCCTAAGTATGACATGGACTGCAAAGAAAACAAATAGGTCTGGCTTGGAGAGGGTGAAGTTTCTTCTTGGAAGCTAGGATTTTTGAAGCTCTCATACTTTGGGCATGTGGCCAGGAGGGACCAGACCTTGGAGAAGGACATCATGCCTGGAAGGGTGAAGGGACAGCACAGGAGAGGAAGACCCTGGATGAGATGGATTGATACAGTAACTGGGGTAATGGAGGTAAGTGTGTCAGAGTCAGTGAGACTGGCTCAGATAGGGTATATCTGTTCTTTTGACAGTCCATTGGATATTCAGCGCTCTTCTCTAGCACCACAACTCAAAAGCATCAATTCTTCTGTGGTCCTTAGTCATTGTTCAGCTCTATGATGCCAAAAGGTGATTGAGAAGACCATGGTTTGACCCAGCTCCACCTTAGTCTTCAAACTGACATCATTATACTTCAGATTTTGAAGAGTTCCCTGACAGCAAACTTGCCCAATGCAATACATCTCCTGATTTCCTGACTGCTGGACCTAAGGCTGTTGATCATTGATCGAAACAAGATGAAATCACGCACAGCTTCAATCCTTTCTCCATCTAGAATGCTGTTGACTGTTGGTCTTGTGGGCCTGCCCTTCCTTCCTTCCTTTCCTTCCTTCCTTCTTTCCTTCCTTCCTTCCTTCCTCCCTCCCTCCCTTCCTCTCTCCTTCCTTCCTTTCTTTCTTCTTTTAAAAAAAATTTATACTGATTTATTTACAAAGTCTGAATACAATATTTTTCACAAAAGATCCTTCCTAGGGGAGCTCTGGTAGCTTAGTGGCAAGAAGCTGCAACTATAATCCCAGAGGTGCACGGTTCAAATCCACCAGATGCTCTGCTGGGGAAGGAGGGGCAATCTCCCCCTGTACCAGTCAGATCTGATTTGATGGTACACGCACACAAAAATAATAAAAGAAAATTAAAAAAAAAAGATCCTTCCCATTTCCTTCACCTCACCCACCCATGACCTTTGTTTTCTGGATGTTGAGATGAAGGCCAAATCTATACCTAGATCTTCTGCAGCAAGAGTTTCACATTCTTTTTTCAGCAAGCTGGGTTGTGTCATCTGCATAAATTCAGGTTGTTGCTGAGTCTTCCTTGATGCAGAGTTTAACTTCACGAAGTATTTGCTCAAAATACAGACCTAGCAAGTGGGGTGAAAAGATACATCCCTGATGCACATCCTTTTTTATCTTAAGCCATGCAGTGTTCCCTTGCTCCATTCAGACAATGGCTTCTTGATCTAGGTGTAGATTTTGCATGTGCACAGTTAAGCGGTCTGGGCAAAGCTTAACTGCTCAGCTTATAACATAAAGACTGGTGGTTTGAACCTAGTACCCACTCCACTGAATAAAAGACCTGGTTCCACATTGTTGTTGTGTGTGTTGTTGACTACAACTCAGAGCTACCCATGGAACCACACCCTATCCCGATCCCGATCCCACGCCATCCATAGTCTCTCTTCTATCCTAAAACAATTGCTGCAGTCACTGTGTCTGTCACTTTGACAAGCGTCTTCCTTTCTCTGACCCTTTACCTTTCTAAGCATGATGTATTTTTCAAAGACTGGCCCCTCGAGATAACATGCCCAAAGTATGTGAGTCAAGGTTTCATCATCTTTGTCTCCAAAGAGCATTCCTTCCAGACAATTGTTCTTTCGACAATCCATGGAATATTCTTTACTCTTCACCAACAGCATCACCCTCCAATTCTCCAATTATCTGTATTTGTTGTCCAATTTTCAGATATATAGGAAGCCACTGAAAATACCATGGATTGTATTTGTCATACTTTAGTTTTTATACAAATACTCTTTCTCTTCAACACTCTGGAGAGATCCTTGACAGCAGACTACCCTAATAGATCTTTTCATTCGTTGACTGCTGTTATTGTGTTGGCTGTGGATCCAAGTAAGAGAAAATAATTGATAACTTCAATCTTTTCTCCACCTACTATGATGTTACCAAGAGGCCCAGTGGTCAGGAGTTTTGCTTTCTTGATGCTGAACTGTAACCCACATTGAAGGCTGTGATTATAAGTGTTTGAAGTCTTCTTCACTTTCTGAAAGCAAGGTTGTGCCATCTTCATAACACAGATGGTTGATGAGTCTTCCTGCAAACCTGATACCACATTGTTCTTCATTTGTTCTACCTTCTAGAACGATGGCTTAACATACAGATTAAATAGATATGGAGACGTGATTCAACTCTGACACACATCTTTCCTGATCTTAAACTATGAAATGTGCTCTTGTTCTGTTCAGACAACTACTTTCCTCCCTCTGTAGAGGTGTCACACGAGCATAACTGAGCATTCTTGGATTCT